TTCATGACCCCTGTTCTAATTTAAAGACATGTTGAGTTTGTGTCTTAGCAGACTCCTAAGATTTTAGACATCACCTCAAGCACATGATGTAGGGAGGCCACAAATGGAGGAATGGAAAGTGGGTTTTGCTTCTGAGAAGGATAATGTGATGAGTCACTATTTAAATGAATCCATAGAGCTTTGTAAAGTCTTAAAAAGGACCATTTAATTGCATAATACTGAGTCCTTGACTTTATAGTGTCTGGAGAAATAGTCTCTGTGAAGTGGGGGGAGGTAAATGTTATCACATGATACTGGAGGAAGAACAATAGCTCAAGATGTGAGGAGGAAATTGGTGTATTGAATGCTGAAATAAATTACAGCCATCAGGAGCTCTTTGCTTTGCCTGGAAATGATCTGTCAAGCAGGAAGGAGCTGAAAGTGTGTTTGTGAGAATAGTGGGTGGATTCTTTTCTCTTTAAGGAAAATAGCTTGACCAAAAGACTGTCCCGAATGCAAAATCAATAGGAATGGATCATCTGAAGCCTCTTTCTTCTTTTTACCTTTTTTCCTACTGGAAATTGTTTTCTCAATTCTTTGAATTCCTGCTCAGGAAAATTAAATATAGTGCAAGCTGAAGGCTATGATTTTTCAACTAGAGTGATTTTGCACCATCATCACTCCCAGTAGACATCTGGCAACGTCTAGAAACATCTTTGGTTGTCACCATTGAGAGGATGCTACAAACATCTAGGGGGTAGATCTCAAGATGCCGTTAAGCAATCTACAATGTGTAGGACTGTCCTTGTCCCCACAACAAAGAATTATGAAACCACAAATGTCAGTAGTGCTGAGGTTGAAAACCCTGGTTTAAGGTAAATTCTGGCTTTTGTTTTTGAAATTGTCCAGGTGAGTCATATTTGTAGTGACTTCCAAGACCAAAATGGAAGCCTCAACACGTGGGTAATCAAAACCTGTCATGTCTATTTCTTGAAAATTGATGAAAAAATAAAGTCACTCCTCTAAATCAAGTCACGATTTGCTGCTATTTGTCTCATGTGATTTTCTGAGAAACTATGCAATTATATTTAAGCAAAATTATAATAATGTATCCTGCAGTAAGTTACCACTCCCCCTGCAAAGCAACAAAACAAAGCAACACAGCAAAACACATCAAAAGCATCATATCCATATACCACGAGAATTATTCATGACAATCTTGGATGTATATTAGGTCTCAGTGAAATAAACATATATCAGGATCCTGTGAATACTAATAACTACACAGAAATACTGTCAGAGTCTTGGAAAAAATTGCTTTAATTCATATAAGATTGTCAAGATAAATAAGAATAGCTACCACTTTTTAAGTGCTTCCTTTTTTTTAACTAGCTTAACTCCTCAGTGTTTCATGTGATTAATTTTACCAAATACAGTAGTCCCCTCTACAGATAGTACTGTTAATCGAGAAAAATGATGAGACAGGTGTCAATCATTTTAGGAGGTTGATTTGCCATGGTTAAGGACATGCGCCCGTGACACATCTTCAGGAGGTCCTGATGCCATGCACCCAAGGTGGTCAGGGCACAGCTTGGTTTTATACATTTTAGGGAGACATGAGACATCAATCAATTTATGTAAGACTTACATTGATTCTGTCCAGAAAGGCAGGGACAACTCAAAGCAGGGAAGGGCTTCCAGGTCACAGATGGGTGAGAGACAAATGGTCGCATTCTTTTGAGTTTTGGATAAGCCTTTCCAAAGGAGGCAATCAGAACGTATATCCATCTGAGCAAGCAGAGGGATAACTTTAAATAAAATGGGAGGCAGATTGGCCCCGAGCAGTTCCCAGCTTGAATTTTCCCTTTTGCTCAGTGATTTTGGGGGCACAAGATATTTTCCTTTCACAGTACCAAACCCTAAATATGCTGTTTTTCAATGTTATAACCAAGACGGCTCCTAAGTGACTGAAAAGTGAGTAACATGTACAGGATTCTCTGGACAAAGGGATGACTCACAGTTCAGGCAGGATGGAGCGGGACAGCAGATTTCATCACGGTACTCAGAACGGCACACAATTTAAAGCTTATGAATTGTTTATTTTCTGAATATTTTTGGACCTCGGTTGACTACAGTTAACAAAAACCCCAAAAAGCAACACTGCAGATTAGTGGGGGACTTTTGTACTTACAAGAGAACACCAGATTGGCATTAGTATCCTTATTTTAGGCGTGTGTTGTCTCAGGCCTAGAGCAGTAAAGAAGCTCAGCTAACTGAGAAACTTCCCCTATAGTGTTTTCTATCCCACCTTCAACTCCTTTTGGGGCCTGGCAGGTACTAAGCCAAAGTCAACTGAGGGGGACCTTTTGGAAATAAAGCCAGAACAAAGAAACAGGTTCATCTCAGCAGAGTAGATGCATATCCCTGTGTGGTGAAGGACTATTTATCTCAATATCTTCAACCTGCGTAATGAGAAGCCTCCTTTCCCTATCCCAGAATAGAAGCTGAACTAAATGGAACTAATTGGCCGCAGCCCATAACCACAATGACTCTGCCTACTTCCCTGCAGAGGACAAAGAGAGGTGGATCCCAGGAGGCAGCCAGGAGATGCAAGGAGCTGAAATGCCATCAGAGAGGGGTGAAGAGAGGAGGTCCCAAGGAAAGCTATTGGAAAGCTTTCTACCAAACGGGAGAAAAAGAACAGAACACATCCTGAAAGACAAGATAGGAATCAGAAACTCAAATGCTCTCAGGTGTCTGCCTTGGGGAGGCAGTTAAATACAGTGATTGGGGTCAGGGATTCTGGCTGCAGCTGCTCAGATTCATTTCCCAGATTTACCACTTAGCAGCTCTGTGAACTTGGGCAAGATGATGGACTTCTCCATGCTCACTTCTCCGTGATGTTCGCTTTCTGAGGTTGCTTTTATTTCATTTGCTTCCTTTTTATGCTGAGATTAACCTTAAAAGTCACCCAACATTTGGTAGAAACAATAGTTATAGTTTATTTAACTAAACGTTTGGATGTTTATTCCATATTGAAAAACGCTTTTAACAAGGATAAATTACTCATTCCTGCTATAGAAAATGGTACTGCAGGAGAGGGAGATAAGGAACAGAGAAAAGGGGAGGGAAAGTAACAGATAATAAAAATGATGAGGAGAGAGGGGATATAATTAGAGGGGAAATGATGAGAAGAAATAAAAAAATGAATGTCAAATATGGATAGAAGGATGGAATGGTTAGTGATGAAAGATGTTATATTTATGCATCTTAGTGATGGGTAAAATCAGCCTTATTATGATAACAGTCTTTGTAATTTAAACAACAATTTGTAAGCTATAAATGTTTATAATGAGTATAATTTGTTCAATTTATATTAATAGAATAATGACATGATGTTAGCCTTTAAGAGATCCTTTGCAGATTAACAAATGGATAATTTTTTATGGGAACATAACCAATTCAAAAATAAATCATTTTATTAATCTTCCAAGTCAGATAAATTTGAGTTTTATATAAACCTAAAACATAATTCTGTCTACAGCTGCACTGGTGTCTGGATTTGAAATATAACAGCAGAATGACTATTCTAGATTAAAAGAGATTAAACAAAAATAACAACTGGCCAGGCCCAGTAGCTCACACCTGTAGTCCCAGAATTTTGGGAAATCGAGTTGGGCAGATCATCTGAGGCCAGGAGTTCAAGACCAGCCTAACCAACATGGCAAAAACCTGTCTCAACTAAAAAATACAAGAATTAGCTGGGTACACAGCTGTAGTCCTAGCATTCAGGAGGCTGAGGCATGAGAATTGCTTGAACCTGGGAGGATGAGGTTGCAGTGAGCTGAGACTGCACCACTGCATTCCAGCCTGGGTGACAGAGTGAGACCCTGTCCCCAAAAATAAAAAAAGAAAGAAAGAAAAGGAAAAAGAAAAATGACAACTAAGTGCAATAGCTAATCTTGATTAGATTCTGATTGGAAAAAAATAGCTATAAAGTATATTATTGGGACAATTGTATACATTTAACTTGGGACTGTATATAAGATAAACTTATCAGCTAATATTATTGTATCAATATGACTAAATGTTTTATTTTGATATTATTGTGGTTCTATTTGAGAATAAGCTTGCTTTGGGGAGATACATTCTGAAACATTTAAAAGTAAAGGGTCATGAAGTATACAACTCATATGCTTCTTTGAAATGATTCAGGAAAAAAAAAAAAAACAGTGATACACACACCCATGGAGGGAAATGTGGTAAAATGTTAATAATTGGTGAATCTAGGTTAGAGGTAGATGGATGTTTGTTGTAATAGTCTTTCAAATTTTCTAGCGTTTTTTTTTTTTTTTTGTGATAAAAAGTTGGGAAATATTTTGTTGTAATATGCTTATGACATCAGAAAACCAGATGGAAGGTGGCTGAGATAACCAAGGAAGTTACAGTATGAGTAACGTAGCCACTGTAGATTCAGAACATCTAATTCATCAGTCCCAAAAAAGAGAGATGTAGGCAATCGATCCATCGTCTTACTAGTCAGCCAATTAGATGACTGTCTTAGAGTCTAGCTCATACAGTTTCATAAAATAACAAGACTCCTCTAAGGAAAAATAGAAGTAGAAATCATGGGAACTTTTTTCTTTTCTGAATAGACCAATTTTATGACACGAAGAAAATCAGCAATATCAAAGAGAGGTAGTCTATGTTACATAAATGATTTTTAAAAATCCTAAAAATCAGGAAGGAAGATAATATAGGGAAATATGCAAATACAGAACTCCAGGCTTTCAATTCAGAAAACCAGCAAACACTTCTTCCAATTTCCCATGAAAAGCACTATATCAATGGCCAAATAATCACAAAACCCAATTACACCATTTAAAACTAAAAGTAATAACACTCTTGGAGATATTCCCATTAAATGCAAATTATGGACGATAAAAGAGAAATGCATTCCTTAACATCATACATTCTGACTTCAAAGCAGAATATAACAGACAGCATTGAAGAAGGCAAGTCTTAAATTAACTCCCTGTTAGCTGCAACATAGGGATAGAAGGATGTACAGTTGGCATAGCAACCCTCCACTACACAGGGATTGTTTTTAACTGGGTGTTTTTTCTGAGCTGCACCTTTCTGCTTCACTATAACCCCTTCAATTCCTTTTATTAACTTCTTAGTGGAAAGCATAGTATGTTCTGAGACACATGGTAACCAACAAAGAAACATTGCTGATGAGCACAAAGACAGCAGGAACCCTGGCAGTGGGACCACTTATGGGGAAAGGCTTTCAGAGCCCATACCTAAGCCAAGAAAAAAAATATAGGCTGTATCTTACTCTTGTCGTGTTAAAGTATCATGGGCAAAGCAGAATCTCCTTGGAGAACTTTAACAAGTGTTGAAGGTAGTTTACTAATCCCCCAAGCTTGTATATCAGATGTCCAGCTAAAAACATGAACCAGTCAACACTCATATATACAAAAAGACATGTTTAGAACACTCCCCTCCTTTCTGTTATCCCCTTTTGGGAAATTCTCAGCTAATCCACATCATAAATTATGATTATGAAGAAGACTCAGAGAAAAAGTGTTTCTCTTTAAAGTTCTACAGAAAACTTTAGAAATTAGATCTTGCTCTCCTCAAAAAATTTTAAGATGAAATGTGAAGAAGAAACTGGAAGACAGAGTGGCTAAGACCAAAGTGGAGATTAAAAAAAAGATCAGTCTGAAGTTTAAAAAATAAATGAGGCCAGGTGTGGTGCCTCACACCGGTAATCCCAGCACTTTGGAAGGCCAAGGTGGGCAGATCACCTGAGGTCAGGAGTTTGAGACCAGCCATGGCCGACATGACAAAACCCTGTCTCTACTAAAAATACAAAAAAAGCAGCCAGGCATGGTGGCACTAACCTGTAATCCCAGCTACTCAGGAGGCTGAGGCACCAGAATCGCTTGAACCTGAGAGGCGGAGGTTGCAGTAAGCCGAGATCGCACCACCGCACTCCAGCCTGGGCTACAGTGCGGGATTCCATCTCAAAAATAAATAAATAAACATTAAAATAAAAATAAATGAAAGAAAAATAAAAATACCAGAGTTAGGGAACAAAATTTTACATTTAAATTTTATTACTATTATTGTTGCTGTTGTTGCTGTTGTTGTTATGAGGCAGGGTCTCACTCTGTCATCCAGGCTGGAGTGCAGTGGTGCAATCTCGGCTCACTTCAGCCTCAACCTCCTGGGCTCAGAAAACTTCCCTACCTCCATCTTCTAAAGTGCTGGCATGACAGGCATGACCCACTGTACCTGATCACATTTAAATTTTAAAACAGAACATTTAAACAGGAATTTTCAACAGTAATACAGGACAAACTTTGACAGTTTGTTCAAAAGGAATAGGAAAGAGACAAAAGTGAAAATGAAGAGAAAGAATGTAACAGTTTTGTAGTGCAAAGATATAGATTCAAATGAATAATATTCTTGTCTGCATAAATGCTTCAGAACTGAGGAAAAATATCAACATATATATTTGGGAAGAATCATTATAATGGAACTGCTAAACACCAAAGAGAGTGAATGATCATAAAGGAATCACGGAGTAAAAATATCAACTTCAAAGTAATACAAAAATTAGATTGACAGCTGACTTCTCCAAAGCAACACTGGATGGCAGAATTCAGCAAATAAAAATTATTCTCAAACTACTTACCACACTAAACCAAACCAAACAGAAAATAATTAATCAAAAATTATATTCTCCATAAAAATATCTTTTTAACAACAAAGTCAAAATAAAAATATTTTAAGATAAATAGATACAGACTTTCTGAACTACATATACCCCAAATAATTTGAATAGATTATATTTTGAGAGGAAATTGAAAAGGTATATATGTAGACAAATCTAAACAAATACTGGAATGATAAAACAACAATAAAAATCTAATATGTGGTGTTATGAATAATTAAAACAAGATGGAAATAAGATACAGAACAACCATGAATGTTCACTGGGAGGAATAGAACTGAAGTTATAGCATTCCAAGAGCACTTATGTTATATGAGAAGAGATACTGAATAAATCAGCCTTTGGTAAATACGAAGGTTAAAATTCCAAGGGTAATCGCTCAAAGAAAATAGCTCTTTCAAACCAGTGTGAAGAAAAGAAAGTGAAATAAGGAAAAGAAGAAGCAAATAAACAAAAGAAATGATAAAATCGCATTTCAAGATCTTAAGGAAGACAATTGAAGAGATAAATGCTATCTATGGCTTATCTCCCTGCGAGTAGGGCTTTGTTTCATTCACTATTCTATACCTAGTATACACAGTACTTGGCCTCTAGAAGATGCTCAATAAATGCTTGTAGAAGGGAATAGGAATAAATGAATTGATAAACTAATAAATATAAGGAAGAAATATTATAAAGATATCAGTTGGAGGAGAGATTGTACAACAAATAGGATCTATAAATTCAAAGCATCCTCTTATTAAATTAAAAATAAACGAGAACGGTAACATAAGCATTTTTAAAGCCATGCAGAATTGCAACTTTTTTCTTGACAATGGCATTTTAGATGTTTTCTAATTTTTATCTTGTACATACCATGTTGCAACTTTCATTCTTGTACATGTAACAATGCACACTTCTCTTAATATATTTTGTAGAGTATGTGTTAGTTCTAATGAATGACTCTGTGACTGTGAGCATTTCATGTTCCATAGACAAAATACTCTCAGTTGTTGTACTAACACCATACCAATTGTGCAAAATATTTCCCATTTTCTTAGTTCCTTGCCAGAATGGTTGTTACCAAACATCTTAACTTTACTCTTCTATTTTAAAAAAATGCTATTCCATTGTAAATTTATTTTGTGTTTTAATACTGTAAGGTTTAAAATTGTTGCACAGGGATAACCTAAATGAAATGGCTATTCCTAGAAACACACAACCAACCAAGGCTGAATCATAAACAAACAGAAAATCTGAGCAGACATATAATTAGCTAGGAGATTGAATCAGCAATCAAAAACCTCCCAACAAAGAAAAGCCCAGGACCAGATGGCTTCACTGGTGAATTCTATGGAAAATTTAAAGAATTAACAACAATCCTCTTTAATCACTTCCCAAAAAAAAAAAAGGAAAAAGGAGGAAACATTTCCAATTGTATTCTATGAAACCAGCACTACCCTGATACCAAAGCCAGAGAAACAAGAAAACTACAGACCAATATTCTTTATAAATATTGATACAGAAATCCTCAACAAAATACTACAAAGCCAAAATCAATAGCATATTAAAAGGATTATACACCATGACCAAATGGGATTTATTCCTGAAATACAAGTTAAACATATGAAAAGCAATCAGTATCATACAGCATGTTAAAAAGAGGAAGGATAAAAATCATATGGTTATTTTGATAGACACAGAAAAGCATTTGATGAAATTCAACACTCCTTTATGATTTAAAAAAGAAAATTAAACAAATTAGGTGTAAAAGAAAACTCCCACAACATAATAAAGGCCAGATATGAAAAGCCCACATCTAACATCATTCTTTTCCTTTAGGATCAGGTGAAAAACAAGGATGTCTACTTTGCCACTTCTATTTAATATGGTACTGGAAGTCCTAGCCAGAGCAATTAGACAAGAAAAAGAGATAGAAATCATAAAAATTGAAAATAAGGAAGTAAAATTATTTTTGTTCACAGATGACATGATGTCACATGTAGGAAACCCAAAAATTCCACCAAAAAAGCAACTGCTTGAACTAATAAATAATCTCAGTAAAGTATACAAATCCTACTTGCAAAAATTGATTGTGTTTCTATACACCAACAGTGAAAAACTTTGAAAAGAAAATAATTCAATTTACAATAGCATTAGAAAGAATGAAATACTAGGAATAAACTTAACTAAAGAGAAAAAAAAAAATCTTGTACTCTCAAAACTACTAAACATTGCTGAGGCTGGGCATGGTGGTTGATACCTGTAATCCCAGCACTTTGGGAGGCAAATTTCAAAAGAGATAGTGAAAATAATTAAATAATTGCTTTAGAAGAGTCTAATAATGAGGTTGGGGAAAAATGGTGCAGGACACTAAATTTTTAAATTATCATTATAAATATTTATGCTATTTTTAAGTCTCATATTAAACATTACTTTAACAAAATGATTTCAGTGATTTTTAAAACTAAAAAACATACTTATAAAATGATGGCTGCCAGGCACAGTGGCTCAAGCCAAAAATCCCAGCACTTTGGGAGGCTGAGGCAGGCAGGTCACTTGAAGTCAGGAGTTTGAGACCAGCCTGGGCAACATGGTGAAACCGTGTCTCTACTAAAAGTATAAAAATTAGCCAGGCATGGTGATGCATGCCTGTAATCCCAGCTACTTGGGAGGCTAAGGGACGAGAATTACCCAGGAGGCCAAGGTTGCAGTGAGCCAAGATTGCCCCATTATATTTCAGCCTGGGCAACAGAGCAAGACTCCATCTCAAAAAAAAAAAAAAAAAAAATGGCCGTTAGAGTTCTAGAGAGTAACTTCTTCCATGGAAACAGAAAGTTTGAGAGCTGCAGGAGGAATGTTTCCAAGGAGGAAGTAGATTTACTGCAGTAGATATCTTGATAAAGTGAACGGATCATGATGATATGGTAATATGGTATACGCATATAAGAAGAAGATTTGAAAAATGGAAAAGAAAGTAGGATGCAAGAAAAACAACAGCTAAACAAGAAACACATGATCCAAACCAGAGGAAAGGAGAATGTGCTGAACAACTGAGGAAGAGTCAGAAATTATAATTGATGTGAACATGACACAGGGAACATTCTCCTTTAACACACTTCTTTTCTTTAAGGGTGAAATCACATTGTTTCGGCAGCAGAATAATATAACAATCGGAACACAGTGTGGGCATATTATAGAGTTTTAGCTCACCGACTAAAGCACTCCCTCAACTGAAAGTGTATAGGACAGGGCAAGTTGAGACGGCATTTCACAGCACTTTAGGGACTGTATTAGTCTTTTCTCATGCTTCTAGTAAAGACATACCTGAGATTGCATAGTTGATAAAGGAAAGAGGTTTAATGGACTCAACTCACAGTTAGTTCTACATGGCTGGGGAGGCCTCACAATCGTGGTGAAGGTGAAGGAGGAGCCAAAGCATGTCTTACATGGTGGCAGCCAAGGGAGCCTGTATAAGGGAACTCCCCTTTATAAAATCATCAGATCTTGTGAGATGTATTCACTATCATGAGAACATCATGGGAAAGACTCAACCCCATGATTCAATTACCTTCCACCAGGTCCCTCCCACAACACATGGGAAATTATGGGAGCTATAATTCAAGATGAGATTTGGGTTGGGACACAGCCAAACCATATGAGGGACTGAAAGAGTAACTTCAACGAGTAACCTGTCCTTGGTCCCAGATTAAGCATTGTGATGAATACATAACATTTCTATAATCCCCTCCTTATCCAATAGAAGCTTACATTCTTCTTGTGAACCACTATCAATGATGGATAATAGCAAACCATCACAATGTTCAGTAATTGATTCAGTATAATTACTATCATTGTTGTTCAAACCATGAGTCTGCATAGATAGCAAATTGTAATTTTTACCTTTTCAGTGAAATGGAGATAGAAAGAGGTACACGTGAATGGTGAGATGGGGACACAGTGACTATGGGAGACTTTGAGAAAGCGACAGAGAAGTTTAGATTTGTTGTACTGATGTAAGATTGAGCAAAGGAGTTAGAGATTGAAAGTAAAGTTTAACATAGAGAGTCACAACCTTGTGCAGTAAGGTTATCTAGAAGGCCAATTCAGTAATCTGTGAACTATACAAGAGTTACTAATGCGTATGAGTTTTCCCAGCCTTCACAAGCCCTTTTCTGAGAAGGATGCCAGGTCAGAACAATCAGGCTTTGTGTCTTGTGTCATGCAGACCAGGGATACTGAAAGAAAGCTACTATAAGAATATTTGATACACAGAGACAAATCATTTTTAAAAGCCCCTGGTGTGTATGAAATAATTATTTTTGTAATAATCATGCAGTTATCATGCATGATTTCCTTGATGCATTCTTTAGATTTGAAACAATTAACAGTTTAAAAAGAAGTTTTCAGGCTATTTGAATTCAATAAATTATACATTGCAATTTTACATTCTTTGTTTTGCTATTTTAGACTTTAAACTCAAAGTAAAACTCTGATTAGTCACACAGCAGGCCAAAATTGAAGAAATTTAATTTCAGTTTCTTTGTCTTTATAGTCACTGTGATGCCACTGTTTATTTTAAAACTAGTGTCTAAGAGCAAGAATATGCAATACCACAGGAGTTGGAGAGAGATTGTGGTTGAACCTGCTGGAATGGCTCTAACCACTCATAAACTTATTATCAAAACAATATGGGAATTTTAGTTCACATGTGTTAGGGACAACTGTGTTAACTGGGAGCTATCCAAATTAATTTACAAGTAGAATCCAATGTTGACTAGGGGATAAGTAATAAAAGTGAAATAATACGAAGCTTATACCTATATACATGTAAATATATATATGTATACATGTATAAAAATGTACACGTATATACATATTTACACGTATAAGCTTTATATTATTTCATTTTTATTGTTGTTATGCTGTTAACAGTAATGAAAATGTATATTCTGTTAAAACTCAACAGCAACTATAGAAATTAGATCAATAAAGTATTTGGAAGGAAGAAGGAAAGAGCAGTTTATCACTTATTGCTTTTTCCTTTTTTTTTTTTTTCAGAGACCAGGTTTTACTATGTTGCCCAGAATGGATTCGAACTCCTAGATGCAATCTTCTTGCTGCCTCAGCTTCCTGAGCAGCTGGGCCCTATAGATACATGCCACTGTGCCTTGACTTCTGCGTTTATTTTCAATAATTGCCAGTATATGGTAAAGATTAGAGTCAAACGGACTTTTTATCAATTTGATTATTGTTTTTGAAATTCTCTGTAATGGAAGCATCCTTTATCGCCTGTGCCTGGCAGACTGCTTTCACCATCTTCCTTTTGATAGAAAGTTTAAAAAAATCTAAAAGAATCAGAGATGGGCTAGCGAATTTTGCCTTGGAAAAAGACAAGAAAAATGTCTACCAAGTTGAAAAAATTGCCAGAGACATGGGAAGCAGTGTGGGCTGCCTCCTGGAGGAGAATTTGGGTGGGCAGGAGAGAGTGGAGATGAGAAATAAATTAGGGAAAATACCTGCTATCCCCTTTGATAGTAGAGAAATAAATTAGGGAAAACACCTGCTATCCCCTTTGATAGTAACCAAGACTAATAAGGGTTTTTAACAACAAGAAAACTAATAATAACAGCTTTTCATATACTAGGCATTGTTATAAATAATTGTGTGTTAAGTCATTTTGTCACAATAATCCTATGATGTTTAGAATACTATTATTATTGCCATTTTACAGATGAAGTAACTGAGTCACTACTAGGAATTGCCAGAGTCCGTTTTTAACTAAGGCAATCTGGCTTCAGACCTTGGCTGTTAACCACTTAGACTGCAAAGTTCTTGAGAGACTGAGCAAAGTCTTGAGTTGTAATCGATTTTCTTTTTATTTCTCTGAACTGACATGGCACAGAGATCCAGGTACACAAGGAGTATTTAGGCTACACGAGGACAAGGAGGTGAGGTTATACAATTTTACGCAAATGGATGCAACCCAGAGGTATCTTGCAAAGCAATTATATGGGATTTCATGGTGACTAAAATCAAAAGATAAGAAGAATGAGTCAACGATGACTCAAAATATTAAGCTTTTGTAATGCAGAAAATGATGGTGCCATTGATAGGGAGTGGGAAATAAACAAATGAGTAAATTAGTGGGCAGAGGTGAGGATGAATTCAGCTGTGAAAATCTAAAGTTTTGGTAAACATTTAGAAATATTGCAACAGTACTGAGAAAATTAAAAAAATGAACAAGATTTTAGAAATAGAACCATAAATGACACAGTTGAAATTTTACCTTGTGTTTTATCTTGAGTGGGTGATGGATTGATTGAATGCTATATATCTGTTTTATTTCACAGAGGATTTGAGGCAACTTACACTAAAATGAATAAGAAATTATCATTAATATTTTAATTTTACACATAACTAAATTCACCTGTGTTTAAATTTATCCTTCTCTTTTCCAAATAAAATGATTTCCATTTTCTGTTGGGCCCTTATTCTAGGTTGAACCTTTGCTGACCAAATGATATATATTTTTAGGCCAGGTGCAGTGGCTCACACCTGTAATCTCAGCACTTTGGAAGGCCAAGGCAGGGCATCACTTGAGCCCAGGAATTCAAGACCAGCCTGGCAGATTGCTTGAGCCCAAAAGTTAGTTCAAGACCAGCCTGGGCAACATGGTGAAACCCTGTCTCTACAAAACAAAAAGAAAATCAGCTGGGTGTGCTGGCATGCACCTGTAGTCCCAGCTACATGGGAGGCTGAGGTGGGAGGATCACCTGAGCCCAGGAGGTCAAGGCTTCAGGGAGTTGAGATCGTGTGCACTCCAGTCTGGGTGACAAGTGAGACCCTGAAGTATATATATATGTATATATGTATATATATATATGTATGTATGTGTGTATATATATATATATATATATTAACAAAGTATTTTGTAATCCTGAGTTGAAATAATAACACTATTAGTTTTTATTTACTTTACATGTATTGTTTTGTCTTGTTTTACTTTGTTTTGTACTATATAAAATGTTGGAAGCATAAATGGCAAAAATCATGGTAGCAGCATTTGAAATTGATGACTAAAATGGTTTGTCTATATACAGTTTCCCCCAATTTGTTTTACACTTTTGCTCTTCCTTTGCTCACCTATTCTATTATCTAATGTCATGGTTAATATTAGGTGTCAATTTGATTGGATTGAAGAATGCCTAGATGGTTGATGAGTGTCTGAGGGTGTTTCCAGAGGAGAATGACATTTGAGTAACTGGACTGGGAAAAGAAGAGTCACTCTCAAGGTGGGTGGGCACCATCCAATTGACTGCCAGCACTGCAAGAACAAAACAAGCCAAAGAAAGGGATAAACAGCTTGCTGAGTCTTCTCACTCTCTCTCTTCTCTAGCTGGGCTCTTTGCTTTCTCTCCTCCTGTCCTTGGACCTGAGACTTTAGGTTCTTTGTCCTTTAGACTCTGGGACTTGCACCAGTGACCTCCTGGGGGCTCTTGGCCCTTTAGCCTCAGACTCAGGACTGCACTGTTGGCTTCCCTGGTTTTGAGGCTTTTAGGCTTGGACTCAGCCAAGCTACCAGCTTTTCTCTGACAAAGCTGAATAATTTCTCATGGCATTTCCTTTAATATATTTTTCATTTTTTTATGAATGACACATAATAATTATACATTATGGGAGTAACATGTATAGTATATTTAATTTGATTGTAAAATGAAATAAGGATAATTAGCATATCTATCACCTTAAACGTTTATCATTTTTTGTGATGAAAACATTCAAAAACCTCTCTTCCAGCTATTTTAAAGTATACGATATATTATTATTAACGCTATTCACCTTGCAGGCAATAGACCACCAGGACTTATTCCTTCTATCAAACCATAGCTTTGTAACCACTGATCAATCTCTCAACATCTTCCTCTTCCCCTTCCCTTCCTCATCCTCTGGTAACCACTATTCTACTTCATACTTCTATGAGAACCACTTTATAGATACCACATATGAGTGAGATCACGAGGTATTTGTCTTTCTGTGCCTGGCTTATTTCACTTAACATCATGTCCTCCAAGTTAATCCATGTTGCCACAAATGACAGAATTTCGTTCCTTTTTAATGCTTCAATAGTATTCCATTGTGTATATATGTCACATTTTCTTTATCTGTTTATTAGTTGGACATTTAGGTTGATTATATATCTTGGTTATTGTGAATACAGCTGCAATAAAAATAGGAGTGCAAATATCTCTTCAACATACTGATTTCATTTCCTTTGTATATACACTCAGTAGCAGGATTGCTACGTATTTCACAATTTTTTTTTTTTTTTTGAAATGGAGTTTTGCTCTTATTGCCCAGGCTGGAGTGCAATGGCATGATCTCGGCTCACTGCAAACTCTGCCTCCCAGGTTCAAGCAATTTTCCTTCCTCAGCCTCCCAAGTAGCTGGGATTACAGGCACCTGCTACCAAGCCGGGCTAATTTTTGTATTTTCGGTAGAGACGGGGTTTTGCCATGTTGGCCAGGCTGGTCTCAAATTCCTGTGATACCCCCATCTTGGCCTCCCAAAGTGCTGGGATTACAGGCATGAGCCAATTGACCCAGGCTATTTTATAAATTTTAACATAATTCTTGCAATTGGCTTCTAAGAAATGTTATACTTATTATAATGTTCAGGAACTACCATTACTCTATTTTATTCTTGGCTTCTAAATACCACAGGATGATTTTTAGCACATATTGATAA